CATATTATATAGACAAGCGTAGAGGTTCAATATTATCTATACTACTAGGAAATGATTAATAATAATAACAATAATACCTAATAATAATCTTAAAAAACTTAGGAAGGGACTTGTACGTTTGTACACTCCTAGGTTATATTTAATATTTAAATATATTATAATAATATTATACTGCTAAGTGTATGGTAGCGATAATAAATAAAGTGGACACCGGCCAGACACACAAAACAAACAATAACCTCATGGTTTATTTAGGAAAATTCTGCATTCCCCGGCGGACATTTCCATACCCCTCCTCCCATTGAATGGGAAATGGAAGTGTCCATGTATGCATACAACTGTATGTTGGTGGAATTGGTCATTACGTTTTCTGTGTGTTCAGGGTTATGCGCATTGCACATTCGTCAGAAAAGAAAAAGTGACGTGATTTCCATGTAACGAACAACGTGAACGTTCTTGGTAACAAAAATAAGTAATAGTGATAAATATTGATATATTTATTGAGTACAGAATATCGAAAACTTTTTTTTTGTGAAAGAATATGACACGGCACAATAAAATGTACATAGATAAATCAGTATAATATGTAATTTAATTTTGGTATGTATAAAAACTTGTATTTGTTAACATTTTCGAGTTGTCCTCATATATTAGGTATGTGTTAACTAGGTATAAAAGAATTCAGTATCAATATTTTCAATGAATTATTGTTTAGTTTAGATAAATCATTTGCAATAACAATAAATTCCTTACACGCAGTTTAGGAGAGTTTAAAATTTTTTTAAAACAACAACAAAATGAAAGTTTTCAAAATGTTCTATTATTTTTGTCGAAAACTTTCAACGAGTCCTCGAAAACATGATATTTTACATCTATGTAACCTGCAGAGTATAATTTACCTATAGTCACAATAGGAACTGTGGAATGGCACTTTTTATTTATGTATCAAAACTACTTAAAGTATCGATGCCGAAATATATTATGACAATAATTTATCGATAAATAATGAGTCCAACGTTATGGATTTATATTATATATACAGGATAAAAGCATGCTCACCCCCCTTTTTGTAATCAATATAATGTAGTTTTTTAAAATCTGACTTTTGGAATTTTTAAATATTATACTTAAAAATCATTATTTCAAATTCTTGATATTTTTTGTACTACTTAAGGGGTATCCTGTTGTGTTACAATTTTTTGTTTTACTAAATAAGTACCAACCCATTAAATTGTAAACTATTCAGTAGATTATTTTTCTGAAAAATGTAAAGTATCAGTTCTAAGGATAAAAGGTTCATGGTTTATAAGAGGCTATGGTGTTTTGAAAACTTTAGTCATTAATATTAATCCATCATAATTAATAATTTGTAAAAATTGCCTAAGTATAATAAATAATAGTTCCAATAAGATGTCTATTTTATATTTTTATAAAACCATTTTAAGGACTATAATCACCCCCATTGTACAAACATTTAAGAACTAAGAAACTATTCATTCGAATTTTTAATTAGGTAGGTACATCAACATTTCCAAAAAAATCTTCCACTAAATAATTTACAGTAAAAAGAGGGGGGGGGGCAGTTATCATTTGAAAATCAAAAGTTTGTATAGCCACAGAACACTACTTAAGTATTACAAAGAAATAGAAAGATTTGAAAAAATTGTCTTTGAGTATATTTAAAAATTCCAAAAAACAGAATTTGAATAAATTCGATATTAAATGAAAAATTCAAGATAAGGATTCTTGGTGAATCACCCTGTATAGTGTATATATGTATTATAAATTACTTATACAACCAAAGCAACCCGCCTAGCTTAATTAGTGACTTTTTTAATGTAAACTTAACAATATCATTCCCAAAATTACTATGCACGATAAAAGGTAATAATATTCATGCCTACATATATTACTTCAGTTGCCTTGCCAAAATAATAATTATAAAATATTATTCTAATAGTAATATGGTGGTGTTAAATTTTCTTTTGAGAAGGTATAGCTGGTTACATAATTCATATTATATATTATTATATATTATTTATACTAAAACATTTATATTTAAAAACTATAGTATACCAATTTATTATGTTTTACCGGAAGGGTTGAATGCAGGTAGGGGTGCTTCTCGAAAAACTATGTTTTGGTTGGTAGGTATAAAATACGGCATTACGCGCTGAAACGTAATGCTCAGCGTGGAGGTTTAATTTTTTAACGCACAACCTACTTAAGTATTATATTTGTTTAGATATGATAAATATGAAAAACGTCAAGAGATAAAAACTTAATAAATTCTGTTTATAGAACTGCGGACGTACGGGGATTAAAAGGGGAGATATCTTTCTGAGCACAAATTACCGAAAAACATTGTTGGTAGACTGCGAAATTCCTCGACATTTTTGCATTGCAGTGCTGTACTTGACCCCGCGAGTTTACCTGATGTTTTGCTACGACTTGTTATTTATTAATTTACGTTAGATTCTACACTTGAAACCTCATAGTTTATTAGTATATTACACACATCAAAGCATTACACCATGATTAACATGTTCATTACATTTTATAAACGGATTTATTTTCACTTAAAATAAACATTATAATATTATACTAGCTGCATAATTATACAATTAGAAAATTGTCATTAACTATTTTGATTAAAAAAAAGGTGTGTTATCAATACTTTCACTGTTTTTAATATTATATTTTTATGTTTCTGGTGTCACAGCGTATCTAAATACGATATACATGCCTATACTATACGTAATGAATAATGAGAATACCTTTGCAGAATTAATAATTCAACTCCAATGCAGCATCCACAATATTTGTATATATTGACCATTATATTATAGCCCATTTTATTATTATTTCAATAAAATCAAAGCGAATTCTTTGCCTACCAAATACGAGGACCGACTATTGAGTTACAGATGAAATGTTTAACGCAATGGCAAACAGCCGACGATAATTTGTATGTAGACTTTTTTACAATGAATTTAAACATTAACAGAACACTCACTGTTTAGGCTCTCCAAAATCACCGACTCGTTCAACACCTGTTGATTGGCTCAGTCGTACACATTATAGTCGGGCGGAAGGAGAAACACTGAAAATTGCTATGTTCGGCGTACGTGCCTGAGAGCAGAAAATCCTATAGTCAGAGTATTTAGTAATAGTCACAACATGCGTGTAAATTACTGCAATATGATCAAATGTATAATATTATTATTATATCTATATCCCGACGGAATTTAAGTTTAAACTATCCGGAGTTTGAGACCGCGACCAAACTTATGCGGATGTAGATCGAATTCATTTATAGCTGTGTGTTTCACTATTGGTTTACGGAATTATACAATATTAATGTATCATCGGTCGTCCTCACTCTCTATAGGTATATAGGTAAGTACTTTAGAATATATAACATAGTAAATAAGTTTACTCTTAAGTCTTTTAATAGACAACAATAATACTCATGTCACATTTAATAATAACCGTAAGCTAAAAAAAACTTTTAGTATATTATTCGGAGTTTTGCTTATTTAATAGATTATTATTATTTTTTTTTTGTGCAATATTTCGTCCTCTATTGACATTATTTCAATACGAACATAATACAATAGGTCACGGCTAAAAAAAGACTGACGAGATGTTATGAATAAGTAAAAATATATTAGTCGTTACTTCTACGATTATTTGGTAATTCGGTGATATATTAGCTTCTACTTTCTACACGATAGCCTCGTTCAGACCGAGTGTACAACTGCCGGAAACATTTTAATATTATTTTTCCAACGTTGTTGCCAAAAATGTTTCTGATTTCAAGCTGTAGCGTATTTGAATGTCCGTGACATTGTCGGAAATATATGTTTCCGACAAATGTATGCTGGTCAGGTTGTCTGGACGAGGCTGAAAAACTTTGGTATGGTGCATAAATATATTGTTGTCTTCGGAAAGGCATAGGTATTTACCTACTTTAAATCATACGCGATAGGCACATATTTGGAATTATACCAAACACAAATAAGACCTAACGTATAAGTAAATAGTAATAATTTATATAATAATGATTGAATGGATTCAAATTGGATAACTTTTGTGTGTCATGTTCTAGAAAAAAATAAACAGTTTCTTTCAAAAGTAATTTTTTTCGAGATAAGTGGATAGATTTTTAACTGTCTACAGAAAAAGAGTAGATTTTATTCTGTATATAGATAAAATAATATAATGCATATTATACAATATTACTATACACATTAGGATGGTATTTGTGGTGATAAAATATATGAATGGAATATTTTTTTTGCAAATATGTGTGGCATCGGTAAACCGTCATCAAAATTTCGATTCTGAACATTGTGTTCATCCACAGACAACTAAAAATATTGAATCAAATAGAAGCCTCGGAAATTTTTATCGACCATCTAGCAAAAATCATGGTTTATATTACACAGAGCTCGTATTTTTGTTTGTTTAATCAATAACCATAGGTTATAACTAAATAAGTACCTATAGCAGCTAATAATATAATATATCATTATGGCTTTGATTTAATATATATGTTAGCGGCAATGTGTATAATATTGGTATTTTATATAATGTCTAGGAATTCTATATAACACCAAATACAGCTGGAAATCTATAAAATTGTTTAAATTACCTAAGCATTATATGAAATGCCAAACAATGTATAGGTAATATATTAAATCCATATAATCAGTACCTATTGATATTTGACAATATATAAATCCATTAGTAATCTGTAATCTGTAATCTATAAAGTAGAATTCCGACTGCCGACAGATAACGCGATAATTTTGTCACCGTAGTCATATTATACTCTTATACTATTTTATCATTTTCAGTCTCTGACAAAATGTCGTGCGTGGAGAGTCGAGTGCGCGAAATGAAAGTTCGTTTTAACGCCGAGTTATTTAAGCGTCAATGTGACTTGAAAAATAGTGTGTTTTTAACTGATGAGCGATATTATCAATTAATTAAAGATGTTGATAGTGCTAAATCGAAAACAAAAAAAAAAAGAGCCGCGTGACTATTGGTTACTTAAAAAATATGATATTTTGGTCGTTAATAATAATAGTAAATTAATTTATCCTGTTAAAAATAATGATAACAATATTTTATATTATATAAAAGAAAGTGACGTTTTTGATGTGTTACATGATGCTCACCAATCGTTAGGACATGGAGGACGAGACAGAATGTTGTATGAGCTTAATAGTAAGTTTAAAAATATTACGCGCTTCGAAGTAGATCTTTATTTGTCATTATGCGAACTGTGTCAATTAAAACACAAAAAAATTAGAAAAGGATTAGTAGTGAAACCCATTATTTCTAGTGAATTTAATAGTCGCTGTCAAGTTGATTTGATCGATTTTCAATCAAATGCTGATAAACTTTTTAAATTTATAATGGTATATCAGGACCATTTAACTAAATTTGTCGTCATAAAACCATTAAAGACAAAAACTGCAGAAGAAGTGGCTTATAATTTAATTGATATTTTCACTTTACTTGGAGCACCTTCTATATTACAATCCGACAACGGTCGTGAATTTTCCAATCAAATTGTTTGTAACTTGAAAAATTATTGGCCCAATTTAAAAATCGTTCATGGAAAACCTCGACATTCCTAAAGTCAGGGAAGTGTCGAACGGACAAACCAGGACATTCAAAATATGTTGATGACATGGATGAGGGACAATAATACTTCAAAGTGGAGTGAAGGTCTAAGATTTATTCAACTGATGAAAAATCGAGCTTATCATAAAGGTATAAATAGGTCACCTTACGAAGCACTTTTTGGTTGTAAAATGAAAGTTGGTTTAGATACACCATATATTTTAAAAGATTTAGATGATGAAGAGAGCCTTCTTAAGTTGGTAGATCACAATTCCATTGGCCCAAATAATCAAGATGACGAAAATAATATTACCAAAGACGAAGATAATATCACGTCGATCGACGAAGATATTTGCACAGTTGATAATAATATAAATACGGGAAATTCTAAGGACGACGAAAATATTGCTACCAATGACGAAGATATTATAACTACGATTAACGAAGATATTTGTACAGTTGATAATAGTATAAATAAGGGGAATTATTTGGTGTGCTCAGAAGAAAACGATAAAAATATGGTTCAATGTATAACATGTGATAGCAAAATCCATGAGAGTGGCACAATATCTGTGGAGAAAGACTTGTTATGTAAGCTTTGTAGCAGAACTAAAAAAACCGAAAACCAGCGAAGAGAAGCACATTGTAATTTGGAATTACAGGCTATAAACATGAAAACTAGATCAAATAAAAAATTCCCTCCGGCACTTGTTGGAAACACAGTAAGAGTACCAATTTCAGATGTTGATCGAGGACGAGGAGAAGCTCATAATGTTTTGGCGTGTGTTTTGGAAGTTACAGAAGATGGATTTTATCGTTTAGGAAATAAAACAGGTACCTATTGTTTGATTGATAATTTCGTAAATTTTTAATTATTAATTTGTATTTTTTGTTATATTTGTATTTGTTTTCTTTAGGTGTTCTGAAACAACTTTATGCCAGATCCCAATTTACAGTCTGTCAACAAAATTTTGTGGCTTTAGATGAAGTAAACCACGAAAAAGAATTGGGTTTACGATCTATTGCCACTCAAGAAGCAACTGGATCTGGACAAGGATTTATTAAATGTTCATGTGCGACAAGATGTCAAAATAACAGATGTAAGTGTTTAAAAAATAAAATTCATTGCAATTCAAAATGTCATCCTAACCTACAGTGTTGTAATAAATAAATTTAACAACTTTTTATAAACTTAAACATATGAAATATAATGTTTTTTTTTCTAATAATAGAATACTTTTAGTAACATTTATTTTGTCTTAACGAAATTTAAAATAAATTAAAAAAATTACATTGTATTAATTATTCCTAATGAGGACCTACGTTCTACATAGATTTTTGTATTTTATAGAACAATATAATAGTAATAATAATTAATAACTGCATGTTAGTACTACCCATACAATTTACAAATTATTTTTTTTTTTTTCATTTTTATGCATTTTTATGCATTTTTATGCATTATATTTTGTAATATTAATGATAAATTGTAATGATGATATTGTAATAAATATTTTTTTGTGCGCTAATAAAATTAATAATTGTCTTAATTATGATAGAAGGAAATCTATTTACTTGGGTAACATCACTATTCTACAGATTGCCAATTTGTTGTTTGTCATTTTATGAAATGTCTAGTTATTATACAAAATATTTAGGAAATGTGTGTAAAAAAAAATTTATTATACACTTTTTTAAAAACCACCAGGTATTATATAGAATTCCTAGGCATTTTATATATTAAATATATTATACACATTGCCGCTAACATATAAATAAAAATAGAAAGTATGATCTTAGAACACAAAGCGTATCTTTATATTTAACATTATTTACTATTTTTGTATCCAACGACAATCAGAGAATAATACGTGTTGTGAACTTGTACATACCTAATATATTATGCCTGAAAAAAAAAAAATTATAATATTGTTGCATGCATAGTACCTATTTATAAAAAAAAAAAGCGACAAAGCTTCAGTGTCGTGTTATTATCACTTCCACTTTTTAATTAATTTAATTTAACCATTTGCTTGCACGATGTACCTAATATTCAGGTACTAAATTCATTTCTCGGTGCAGCTGCATATATAATAAATTAAATAATAATAATTGTCTTATTTCAAATGATGATTAGAAATCACCATAGCAAGAGCCCGAATAGGACATTCCCATTTAACCCACTCATTCTTAATCAACAAACATCCTCCTCTCTAATACAATAAATGTCAAGCCAACCTAACAGCTAAGCACACACTATTCAAGATTACCCAGAACGGTGTTGGGATATTTTGTTCCGCGGATATTTTGTTCCGCAGAATAATTTGTTCCCTTTTGAGATATTTTGTTCCCTTTTTGGATTTTTTGTTCTTCTCTGGAGACATTTTGATCCTTTTTCATATTTTAACAAAAATAAAGTAGGATTTTTTGTTCCTTTCTTTAACAATCAAAAGTGGAACAAAAAAATCCTAAAACGGAACAAAATGTCCTAGTGGGATATTTTGTTCCGCGGGGATATTTTGTTCCTCTCGGTGGACTTTTTGTTTCTCTTTGTGAATAATGTGATCCTTTCAAAAACATTAATGGTGGAACTAAAAATCCTAAAATGGAACAAAATGTCCTAGTGGGATATTTTGTTCCGCGGGGATATTTTGTTCCTCTCGGTGGACTTTTTGTTCCGTTTTGTGGATAATTTAATCCTTATATAAAATTTAAAATCGGAACAAAATATTATGAAAAAAATATGTAATATGAAAGTTATATATTCTGAAAGTATTCAAAACACTAAATAAGTTTAAATTGGAATACTATACAATCATATGCTAACACGTTTTAAGTCTTAAGTATTAGTCACGTCTTTAATCGCCACTCGTTATTAGTCGGCCTTGTGTACATATTATATTTTAGTGGTTAAAACGTAAGTCCCACAAGGGAGAGTAAAATATTGTCCGTCCAATTGAAAAATAAAAACAAGTTGGTAAATAGTAAAATTTTTTACTTTTAATTAAATTGTATTTATCTTTAGGGGAACTTGTTTAAATTTTTAAATTTGATTATATACATTTTTGGTTTGAATAAATAATAAATTATCCTTTATTACAGTAGAGGTCAGATGCATACTCAGGAATTTTCAATGGAAGAAAGGTGGTTAAAAAATAATATTTCTTGTTGTTGTCAATTGGTTGTATATTTTATTGACAAATATATAGTAGGACTAACTGCCGACTAAGTACCTATACATAAGCTCAACTAGGGTTAAAATTCTGTGGGGGATACAGCCTACATAACAAAACCATCTAAAAAATTTTGTGTATTGACATAAAAAATCGTTATAATGTAATATGTCAAACAGCTGCTAATAAACAAAAAACTCTACTTAAAAATATGTTTTTTTTTTTAAATTGGACCAAAGGCAACTAGTATGGATATGTCATATGTGAACGCAATAGCTGAAGGTTTCAAATGAAGTGCAGAAATACATGGTCTTAAATTCAATACATTTTTTGTAAATATGTATTTAAATTGTACATTAAATAAACACATATAATGAACAATACTCAATAATACTAGAATTATAAATACCCTATATTACTGGTATGATTATAGGTACAAACATAGGTGCAACTAGGAACATTTTTTGTTGGTGCTGAAATTGTATCAGCAGCACAACACCTAATAATTAAAATTTTAAACTCCTAATCACTCTTATTAGTATTAACTTTTAAAAATGGTTCAATATTATGTAAGAAAGTCTTGTCGGAAAAATTGGTGTGTAGATAAGTTATGATGTGTGATTAAATATGTTATTTATAATAATTTAAGTTACATATTAAAGAGCTGTCAAAGAACATAAAGTACCATACACTATACCTAAATTATATTATGTCAGGACTCAGGAGAGTGAAGAAAAAATAAATACATTGATGTGATCTTACCTCTAACAAAAAGCATGTACCCATTATAGGTACCTACTTGAATAAAAACAATTATTTACCAAATTTTAAATAAAAGTTAATTTACACAACTATAAATACAATATAATTTAATAAACAATCTTTAAGGATTTTAAACTATATTATATCCGTGCAAAACCGACACAATGTTAAAAATAGTTTATGGCTTGTTCAAAAAAAAAAATATGAATGATATTCACTGTATTATAATTAAATATTGTAAACAAGAAGTTACTTAATACAACTGTGAAAATAGATTAAGTAATTTTAAGATCTTGATTAATTATGAAAGTATTAATTTTTTTCATTTGGTTTGGCCCCGTGTTCGGCTATATAGTGGATAATAAGTGGAAATTAGTGGATAAGAAAATGTCCTATAACATAATTATATATTAGTATGTTCAGATCAGGAATTTGAAAGTAATTTCTTAATCCATTATGTTAGGTAAATAACGCTATATGAATATTAAATATATTTCTTTGTTTATGAATAATAGTAATAAGAATTAAAATAAGTTTTATTATGTTAAACCTTACATCATAAATGTATGTAAATTCAATTCAATTGGACGGACAATATTTTACACTCCCTTATGGGACTTACGTTTTAACCACTATATATATGTACACACTGATAACGAGTGGCGACTGAACACGTGACTAAATACTTAAGACTTAAAACGTGTTAGCATATGATTGTATAGTATTCGAATTTAAACTTATTTAGTGATTTGAACAGGGGCGTCATTTGGGGGTGGGCAGGGTTGCGACGGCACCACTAACATAATGGAATAAATAATTGGCCCTCCATTAATCCTCCTATGCACCGATATGATTACTATTAAAAATTAATAAAATATTCTTGGCCCAGTGGCGCTGGAGTCCAAAATTTTAACTATGACATAAGACACTTCCACATAAAATTTTGACACCCACCTATTTATTATAATTACTGTACCATACACCAAGTAAATATATATTTTGACGCCACTGATTCGTGCATGTAATTTAAATTTATTTTTTTTATCAGCTTTATCAGATTTATTATCAAATGTATACCTATTTGATAACCGTGTGAAACGAGTCTTTTATTCTGTGGTTTTATTATGTTAGACAGTTCGGTCCAGCCTGCTGGTATCAGCTATAGTGGAGTAAGAATAGCATATAGCAGATAATATATTAGAACCTGTAGAAAAGTAACTAATAATGTGTAATTTTGTATGAATATTGAAAAGTGTTTAATTTTTGAATTACATTTATTAAAAATAATTCCTTAAACTGCATTTGCTTTTAATTCTCCAAAAAGTAGTAAAATGGCTTCTGTTGGCCACTAGTTGTTACTTGTTTTAGTTGCTTATATGCTTTTATTAAAAACCTTCTAATACAATGAACTGCTAGCTATTTGAAAATTTCAATATAAATTAGTTGATATGAGTAATTTTTTATTAGGATTATAAAAGGGAAGGAGAAAATATTAACATACTTAAATAATTTAAACGGCATGGTTATTTTTTAGATATTAATGTTAAAGTTGGCCTGGTTAAATATTAAAATTGGCCTGCCTAAAATCTTGCACACCCGGAAAAAAACTGAAATGACGCCCCTGGTTTTGAATACTTTCAGAGTATATAACTTTCATATTACATATTTTTTTCATAATATTTTGTTCCACTTTTAAATTTTATGTAAGGATTAAATTATTCACAAAATGGAACAAAAAGTCCACCGAGAGGAACAAAATATCCCCGCGGAACAAAATATCCCACTCGGACATTTTGTTCCGTTTTAGGATTTTTTGTTCCGTGTTTAATTTTTTTGAAAGGATCAAATTATTCACAAAAAGGAACAAAAAGTCCACCGAGAGGAACAAAATATCCCCACGGAACAAAATATCCCAGTAGGACATTTTGTTCCGTTTTAGGATTTTTTGTTCCGTGTTTAATTTTTTTGAAAAAGGAACAAAATGTCCCCAAAAAGGAAGAAAATTATCGCGGAACAAAATATCACCTTACCACCCAGAACACCTACCAAAATGTACGAAATAACCTGTTTGTAGTTTTATATCGAACAATTTATAAGGATATATTAATACGATTAAAACAACACCAAAAGCCTAATGTGTCTAATAAATTACAATCATTTAATTGTAAATTAATTTTTCAAATATACACCAAGCCAATAACAATCATAGATTTTGAAGGCAAATAATGATGATAAA